TTTCTGTAATTATTTCATTCAGCAGGCTACTCATTCCCTTGGTTTGAATCTCTGTACCTTCTTCTATCCCGATGACTCGTAGGTTTGGTTTTTTTATGTTATCCCATATCTCTTGGATGTTTCTCTCGTGATTTTTAACCAGCCTTTCTGAGTTGGCTAGGCTCTTTTCAAGATGATATATTTTGTCTTCATTATCTGACGTTCTGGCTTCTACTTGCTCCACTCTGTTAGTGATACTCTCAATTGAGTTTTTAATTTGGTTTATCGTTTCCTTCATTTCTAGAATTATTGTTTGATTTTTTTTTTTATAATCTCTATCTCCTGATAAAGATGCTTAACTTTTTCTTTTATCTGCTTATGTAATTCATTTTCAAAGTGTTCTTTCACTGTTTGGATTTGCTGTCTCGTATCCTCTTTAAGGTTCCATTCCATCTGTCTAAGGCATTCCTTGAGTTCTTTATATGACCATTTTTCTGCTGACTCTAGGTCCTCCTGAATATTTAGGCTGTCCTTCATTGTTTGTACCCCTTTTCTTCCTTGCTTTTTTATGCTGCTCATGTTACTTCTTGTTCTGTTTGACTGCTGAGTTACTGTTTACTCTTATAAATTTATTTGATGCTTGGGAGGAAAGATATTAGAAGGGAAGGGAAGAAGTTATTAAAGAGAATGAGAGTAGGCAGGTAGAATTCAAGGAAGGGGGAATAAGAAAATTGAAAAGAAATGAAAAGACAAAAGAAACAAAAACAAAACACACACAAAAAAGTTAGAAAATAAAGAAAGAAAAGAAAAAAAGTTTTTTTTACAAAACTAATAATGATAATAAAAATAATGAAAATTAAAATTAAAAAAATTATAATAAAAATTAAAAAATTAAAAAAAAAATTAGAAACTTTTAAAAAAGTTAAAGAACAACAAAAAAAATTGAAAATGAAAGAAAAAAATAGAAAGAGAAAAAAATGATAATAATAATAATAATAAATGCAGTCATAGAGTTCGATTAATTTCTCTTCCAGTAGGTGGAGCTGTGCCCACTGGGTCAAGCTTCTCCTCTCACTAAGTGGGAACCAATCACTGTGTAGCAGCTCTTCCTCACAGACTGGGCGGGTCTCCAATCCTGAGTGCCTAGGGCCTTCTCTTGTGTTTCCTCAAGCCAGGCCGCGCTCACCTGTGACGCTCACCACAATACTGGCTACACGCCATGTCTGCTGCTCCTGGGAGCCCTGTTGCGCTGGTTTCAATGCAGTTATCTCCTCCGCCCCTGACGTCAGTTCTCTGCCAAGGTGGTATCACATGTAAATGGTGACCGTTCGTTCCCTTTGCCGGGTGACCAATGCAACGGGTGGGTCCTGACTGTCTCTCCCAATCCCCGTTTCAGTCCTGTGGCCACTGCCTATGAAGGCTCGGTTGGTTTTTTACCTCTGAAAGTTCCTAAGGGCCAACCAGTTATTTCAGCGGGATCGTTAGTGCTGAGTCACGAGAAGCAGGCGAACCGGAGCTTGAATGCAGCCGATCCGGGCTCAGTGTGTGAGTTCTGAGGGGCCCAGACTATACACCCCAGATCCACGTCAGCTCAGCATTGCCTAGTGATCCTGAGCAAACAGCATTTATACAGTTTACAGCTCCCTATGCCCGCGCAGTTGAAGAGGTCAGAGACTTGATCTCTCCCCGCCCACTGCCATGTTAGATCTCCTCAATGATATTCATGTTGCCCTTACAGCTTCCTGGCATAAGCAGGTTCTTGGGATTATACAAACTGCTGCTTCTGTTTCCAGTCCAGATTTCTAGAAATTAAACCCTGCCGCCGTCGCCTCTTCCCCCGGGCCACGCTCAGGGGCGCCCTGCTCGTCCGCGACCGTAGCTGCGCTGCCGACCGGTGCCCAGCCCCCGGGGCCCAAGCGGCTGCCACCGCGGCTCTCCGGCTCCCTCCTCTGAAGCACGGGTCCCCTCGCAGGGGCATGCAGAACGACCCCAGAGCAGGCTCTGCCCGAGGGTGCAGCGGCGAACAGGCGACCCAGGCGCTCAAGGCTGCGGTCCAGCCTTTGGAGGACAGGGCTCGGCACGCAGCCCAGCTCCAACCTCTAGGTGCGGCTGCCGGACAATGTAGCCATAGCCATCAAGACAGCCGGCAGAAAGCAAATGGCAGCTCCCGCGGAGTGGATTTTCGGCACAGAAACCGCAGCCCAGCCAACGATCCCAATCCACAAACAATCCCTGTATAAAAAATATTCAAAAAAAAAAAAAAAAAGGCGGGGCGCACTGAGCTTTCTTTGCCTAGGGTACTTACAATCCACTGCTGATTACACATTCACCTTTTCTGCCCGGAGCGAAGCAAAAGAGGAAGCAGATGGGAGCAAAGCGCCCGCGGCTCTGGGCGGCAAAGCGTCCGGGAGCCAAGCGTCTCTTTTTCGATCTCTTTGTTCTTCCTGCTGCTTGGCAAAGTGGTCCGCTACAGATTAACGGTGAAAGGAGCTCTTACACGCTGTGCGAAATCTCGATTAAAGCCGCTGCTCTGAGCACCATGCTCAGGACTTCAGCAACCCCCGTGCGCAGCGGCCATCTTCCTTGATTGGGCTTTTTATTGTTTTTTGCTGTGTTGGGTATCAACCCCAGAGCCTCACACATGCTAGGTAAACACTCTACAACTGAGCTACATCCCCAGCCCTCACTGTGTGTTCAAGATGCTGAGCATACAGTGATAGTGAATAATCGAGGAACAGCCAGGCACAGTGGTGCAGTAATTCCAGGTACTCAGGAGGTTCACTAGTTTGAGGCCCACTTGGGCAACTCAAGGAGACCCTATCTCAAAGTAAAATATATAAAGACACATAGAGGTCTAGGGATTTAACTCAGTGGTAGGATGCTCCTGTATTTATCCTTACTGGCAAAAAAAAAAAAAAAAGGAATAATCAAGAAACATAACAGTTCATGTCTAAATTTCTATTATGCATTATGTTTTTCAACTGGTACAATCTTTTTTTTTTAATTTTAATTTTTTGTTTTAATTAGTTACACACAACAGTACAATGACCTTGACATATCATTTGAATCAGATGGGATATAATTTCTCATTTTTCTGAGTGTACAGGTTGCAGAATCATATTGGTCATGCAGTCACATATATTAATAATAATGTCTGTTTTATTCTACTATCCTTCTTATCCCCCCAACCCCTCCCCTCCCCTCCCATCACTTCTCTCTATTTAATCTAAGGAAATGCTGTTCTTTTTTTTTTCTTTTTTTCTCACATCTTCATACATGTGTTTTGTATAAAGATGAGGGTCTCCTTCCACCTTCCATGCAATTCCCCTTCTCCCTCCCTTTCCCTCCCACCCCTCTTCCCTATGTAGAGGTAATCTTCTTCCACTGCTCTTCCTCCTTACCCCATTTTGAGTCACCCCCCCTTATATTAGAGAAGACATTCAGCATTTGTTTTTTTGGGATTGGCTAACTTCACTTAGCATAATCTGCTCTAATGCCATCCATTTCCCTGCAAATGCCATGATCTTATTATTTTTTAGTGCTGAGTAATATTCCATTGTGTATATATGCCACATTTTTTTTATCCATTCATCCACTGAAGGGCATCTAGGTTGGCTCCACAGTCTAGCTATTGTGAATTGTGCTGCTCACGTTTCTTTCCAGCTCTGTGTGACTGTTGTGTTAATATTTTCCCCCTATAAATCTATATTGCTCTTGTATAGTTCTAAAATCTCTATTTTGTGGAGAAAAACAATGTTAACAGTTCCCAATAATACATCATCTATGAGCAAGTTTTCATTATTAATACATTTATAGTTAGACTCTATGTCTACAGATGTTGACTTCAATTATTATTTAGAATATAGTCATTAGTTTCATAAAAGGCATACCATTTCTGGTGGTGTATAGAGAACTCAGGGTCAGGGATAGGATGCTATGTTAAGGGGGAAAGGAGTGAAGGTATGGGATTAATCTAATTTAGCAACTTTGGAGTAGAACTCTAATGAATAGACAGGGGTAATTTATGGAAGAATGTATAAATTCAAACTCCTTATCTGTATTTAGAAAATTATCCTACGTATAAATAGTAAAAGTTAGGAGGTTGTAAGTGGGATAGAGGGAGGAAGAAAAAAATAACAAGGAAAGAAAGAAAGAGAGAGAGAGAAAATAAAGGGGGGGTGAGGTGGGGCCTATGCAATTCCTCTATATTATACTATTCTGGTGATTCAGTTCTTAAAGTCCAATTTCATGCAAAGTTCTAGGTTTCACATATGTTGAGGTTGTGAGGACCAGAGGGGGAAGGGTAGAGGAGAATGGATGAGAAGAGCGAGAAAAGAAAAGAAAGAAAGAAAAAAAAAGTCTACGGCCATACCACCCTGAACGCGCCCAATCTGTCTGGTACAATCTTTTTAAATTTTTTTCCTTTTTTTTTTTTTTGTGTGTGTGTGGTGCCATGTGCATGTGAGGTAAGAACTCTACCAACTGAGCTATTTCCCAAGCCCATACATTTTTCTTTTTTAAAGCCACTTTTATATTAAATTTACTGAGCATGTTTTCCTAGGCCATGTCTAAAACACCCAAAACAAAACAAACAAAAAATCCAATATTGTCAGGCAAAAAAGTAAAGACACTTAATTTTTTTTTAAAAAAAGAGAAATCTACTAATAAGCATCATAGGCATATGGGTTCCAAAGATGTGGCAGATGTACAGTACTTCAAATCAGATGGTATGTCCCTTACTAGTGACTAGTGGGTACCTCTTTTCCTTTGAGGAAAGTGATTCTAGCATAGCTAGAATACCAGCTTTATTCTTCTACTTAAAACAGTATCTGTTCCTTTACCTATCTTAGGTGTTTCATAGTTATACGCATTCTAGCCAAATAAAATAAACACACCCAAAGAATATCATTCAAATAATGTGAGAATGAACTTCACAGTAACTAAATGATGAAAAGTAGGCATAAGTTTTCCAACCACTTTTACTCATATGAACACCACTACAAGCACCAGTGTCCTCCTACCTCCACATTGGGGATGGTTTGTTTTTTCCCTCTGGGAGCTTCAAAGAATAACTGTTCTTTAGCACCAGTGTTGACCTGTAAAAGCTTTCCTTAAAAAAATAAAAAATATATAGAACATACTTATATCATATAAATACTTACATCATTAGTATAATGTTTCAATTTTATGGGAAAAAATAAGCTTAAGTATAAAAAATCATTTTCCTCTCCAAATCAAAATATTTTAAGATATTGTATTTTCTTAATCTCCATATAATTAAATTTATAAACAGCTTAATTTTTTATTTATGCAAATACATAGAAGCTATTTGTTTTTAGGCATATTGAAAAAATCTTAGAAACAAATGTTGAAATTTTTTTAAATGCATGCAAGTATTTTGTTTAGCAATACCTAAGAGAATCCTTAATTTAAAATATTAAAGTTGAAAATATAAAAATATAACCCTTAAAGGTAGCATTTAAAATATTTAACATTTATTTTAACTTATCAAACACTGTCATAAAATACAAAGATACTCATTAAATTATGCTATATAATTATGGTTATTTTTAGGAAATGCATATTAACTAATAGGAAAAGGAGGTTAAAATACTCATTAACATTTATATTTCCAAATTTGAAGTTTGTCAAACTTATCAGATAATAACTAGTACATTACCTAACTAAAAATCTTTATGTACAATATATTTATATTATTCCACAAACTAAACAACTTATTACTGTACTGTCATTTGAATGACATAAGGTAAAGTACTAAGAAAGTTTACAGCATTCCCTTTTAGATATAAAATAAAGTAGTGGAAAATAATTTTGAGAATACAGTTTATTTTTCACAAGGTTTTTGATTCTAACAAGATCCAAACAAATCATGTTTAGCTACACTAAATCAAATTTTAGTGTAATAAAATTTATTTATAAATCAAACTTTTATTAAATATTAAACTGTTTGAAGTCTTACCTCTAATATCCCAATCAATATGGGTTATGCAACTTGTAGCTCCTTTGCATATTCCCACTCGTTTACTACTCATTACATTATATATATCTATAAAGCTGTCATGGGATGCCACAGCCAGATATTTCCCAGATCCTACAACAGAAACATATTTTGGCATTTTCTACTTGTGGAAATGTTTTTACACTCTGCAACTAGAGTTAATTTTCTTAATATCTTTTTGGAGAAATCTTAGGTGCTTCATAAGTTACCTAGTATTGAACAGATGTATTAAATGATAAATGATTACATTTTCAAGTACATTAATAACTAACAAGGGGCTGGGGCTGTAGGTCACTGGTGGAGTGCCTGCCTTGCATGTGTGAAGCACTGGGGTTGATCCTCAGCAAGACATAAAAATAAATAAATAAAATAAAGGTATTGTGTCCATCTACAATTTTAAAAAAATAACATAATAAAGTAAATTTTAGTGAAACAAATTAGTTCAGTGGAGAGCAAACTGTCAAAATTATATATGATGTAATTTTGGTATGTTTTCATGACCAAAAAAACTCTTTAAATTTAGAAAAAAAAGATCTAGACCAACATAAGTAAATTTTGCTTAATATTGTATTGTATTATAATATATTATAGTAGGTTTTTTAAAAAACTGTATTATAGTAGGTTTTTTTAAAAAATGTTGTTAGTTATAGATGGACACAATATCTTTATTTATTTTTATGTGATGCTGAGGATCGAACCCAGTGTCTAATACGTGTGAGGCAGGAGCCCTACCATAGAGCTATAGCCCCAGCCCTATAATAGGTTTGTAATAAATAATGACTGCAAGAAAACTGGTATGTATGAGTAAAATTAATGCATTTTCTTCCTTGTGGTGCTGGGGATTAAACCCAGGGTCTCTCACATGCTACGCTACATCCCCAGCACAAAGTAATACAATTTTAAAAGCACTAAGAATATCAAGAATGTCATGAAAACAGTCAAGCTCTTTTTATGTTACAAATGAGAAAGGTGAAGTTCAGAGTAGTGTCCTGGCCCAAGTCATATGGAAAATTTAGTAATAAGAATTAGCACTAAGCAAGATATTTGCATAATCAAATACAGGGCTTTTATTTCTTACTGCTCCTTCTAGTCAAAAAAGTAAAATTCCAAAATAAAACAAGCTAATATAAACCACACATTGATACATTTACTCATATTCAGACCAAAGTTAATAATCAAATAAATGCAATCTTACCAGGTGAAAATCTAATATCTGAAATAATATCTTTTCTGTGGTGAAAAGACACAAGATCCTCTAGAGTATCTGCATTTGCCATTAAGAAACTTCCATCATTGAGACCTACAGCTAAAGCTTTTCCATCAGGAGAAAAACAGCAACATCTTCCACCTGGTAAAGGAAGAAAAGAGTATGTATTAGGAAATTTTCTTTTTTAAAAAATACATGCTTGAAGGACCTTTAATTTCAAAGAAGATGCCTATATTTATTATGGCTTCAAATCAACATAAAAAAGGAGTCAAAAGATGCAGATGAAGTTTTCTATGAAAATTCCAGTAAGAAATTCTAAAAAAAAAAAAAATTAAACTCATTTCTAAATGTAACCAAACTGAGTACTGATATTTGTCTTAAAAGAAATTAAGCTGAAAAAAAAAGTTGAGATTGCCTGTCTGAGCCAAGTGCTGGGAGGGGTTACAGGAAGGTGTCATCCTCCTTTCCTAGTCCCCCAGGCACTATGTTTTCAGACAAGGTCTGGCTTGATCTCCCCCCCATAAGCAAATGGCCAGCAAACTCCAGGGAATCCAGGCATGGTTGCTTCTTCCCTGCAGCCTTGGCTAACAAGGCAGAGCAGTGGGAAAACCATGCAGTTCTGTGTGGGGAGGCAGTCCTGGGTGAATGTTGTGCCTGGGTGCATGTGATGGCCTACAGGAGCCTGATATTTGTACTGCTATTTATTTTTGTGAAGAAGCAATCATGCACTTGCAAATGAACCTACAACGGGACCCCATGTCCCTGTGGGACACAATGTTCCCAAAGACTTAAAAGAGGAGAATGACACTCAACTCTTCAGTGTTCAGAACATCAAGTATGAATCCCAGCAACTTGCAGACACAAGTCTGCTACAACTGGAAACCCAGGTAAATCAAAGTTGCTACAACTATTTGTACAGGATGAAACTTTTGGATGCCATCCTTGCCTCTGAGATCCCATTTCATGCTGAAGGCTGGCACCACCGTTCCTTAATGGGCATTAATTTCTGCTCCTCCTTGCTAGATCTGTGAAACACTATTACTCCTTTCAAAGTTGTATGGAAGACCCTCACGGATACCCTGCTGAATAGCCAGGCACTAGCCTGCTGTGAGACAGGGGTGTTTAGTTAGAGTGAGTACCTGTGCCATCAAGAGACCCTAAGTGAGCTGGCCACCATGGTCAAGGCAAGAATTGGGAACTTACCAGCACCAACCATCAGCTGGAGACCTCATTCCCCTGAAATCTCCCCAGCTACCCAGGTGACATAAGTCCCTCCCCTCCGGTCAGAAGAGCAAATGTGTCAAGAATTTCCTGGAATTGAGGAGCTTTATGTGGCATTTATACACAATGGAGTATTACTCAGCATTAAAAAATGACAAAATCATGGCATTTGCAGGGAAATGGATGGCATTAGAGCAGATTATGCTAAGTGAAGCTAGCCAATCCCTAAAAAACAAATGCCAAATGTCTTCTTTGATATAAGGAGAGCAACTAAGAACAGAGCAGGGAGGAAGAGCATGAGAAAAAGATTAACATTAAATAGGGACGAGAGGTGGGAGGGAAAGGGAGAGAGAAGGGAAACTGCATGGAAATGAAAGGAGACCCTCATCGTTATACAAAATTACATATAAGAGGAAGTGAGGGGAAAGGGAAAAAAAACAAGGGAGAGAAATGAAGTACAGTAGATGGGGTAGAGAGAGAAGATGGGAGGGGAGGGGAGGGGAGGGGGGGATAGTAGAGGATAGGAAAGGCAGCAGAATACAACAGACACTAGTATGGCACTATGTAAAAACGTGGATGTGTAACCGATGTGATTCTGCAATCTGTATACGGGGTAAAAATGGGAGTTCATAACCCACTTGAATCAAATGTATGAAATATAATATGTCAAGAGCTTTGTAATGTTTTGAACAACCAATAATAAAAAAAGAAAGAAATAAACAACAACAAAAAAAGGATGCCTATAACACATTGGAGAGCACTTTGATGGAGCTGAAGGACTCTCACTGCAGACTGAGCCAGACAGATGTGATATACGAGGTAGGCTACCTGCTAGGCAGCTCTCAAGAAATCTGGCTCAGTAGACCCAAACTGTGTTAGACAAAGCTCCTGTTGTGTCCAGGGTTCTTAGAGCTTGTGTATAAAAGGTCATTCTCCAACCCTTTCTTATAGGTTTTTTTAAGAACATCAGCTACGATTTTATTTCTCCCCAGTAGCATTTTTTTTTTCTGGATTTGAATTCATATGTCATTCTTGTTTCTATCAAAGCTTCCTTAAACAAAAACTTGTTTTTGGCCATAGTTCCCCTACTCGGTTCTAGACCATTTAATCCCAAAGAGTAGAAGTAAGGTGTCTTCCCCATTGTACTCAATCCATTGGTAACCTCTGGGTTTAGGTTGTCTCAGAGTTGTTTGGTGGAAAAGGCAGACAGGAACTGGGGCTGCAGGCAGTGAGGAAGTGTGTGTTATGTGCAACAACTTACCCTGGCACTCCACTTAAACCAAGATGTGTTGAAACTTTAACACAACTTGCCTCATATGCAAGGATATGCCCTTCTACCTCCATTCAATCTTCTTGTGAATACACTGAATAAAAGAGAATGTTCTGATACCTGATATGATCTATTCCAACATACAAGATGGTATACAGGAATGGTTTTCCCTAATAAGGCAGTGTACTGGTCTGACTTTAGTTGTTGAATAAAATGAACTATTAAAAAGCAACAACACAGGGCTGGGATTGTGGCTCAGCAGTAGAGCGCTTGCCTAGAGCGGGTGGGACCCGGGTTCTATCCTCAGCACCACATAAAAATAAAGGCATTCTGTTGTGTCCATCTATACCTAAAAAATAAATATTAAAAAAATGCAGCAATACAGAAATTAAGTTGATGAAAAAGAAAAAGAGATTTTACCTATTAACTAACAAATGCCAATAACATAAGTGGAAACTTTTGGGGGTGGGGGGAGAAGACTGCTATCTTAGTAGATTCTACCCAAGAAATCAGAAATTTAGGAAATGAGGCCATCTTTTAAAATGCTTTAAAATGTTTTTTAAAATTTGAAAATAGGTTCTGCCTTTTCTTTTTTAAAGACAAACCCTTGGGAGTTTTAATTCTATTTTGTACTTGCCCTATGGGGCCTCCACTGCTTTTCTATGGGAGACACTCTTAATTTAACAGATGAGAATATTTTGAAAACAAAACAAAACAAAATAAAAGGGAAATTTGACAATAGGTAATTATTAGTTAAAGATAGAAAAATCTAGGTTTCAAAACTACGCAAATGATATTAATATTATTGTTAGTATTAATTTTTTTAAAAAAGGTTAGTACTACACTGATAAATACAGAACAATGGGCTTACTCTGACAGCAAGAGATGCAGCAAGCATACAAAAACCCTAAGGCTTTTGAACCTTTCATGAAATAAGATGGAAGAGGGATGGGGTACAGCTGTTACAGAATGAGAATAAGTAGTCATCTAATTAACAAGCATAAACTGGCAATGAAGAAATGTAGGATGTAATTTGAGATCTGAGAGTCGAGAGATGACCTGGAGCAGGATGACAGCAGTGGAAATGATGAGAAGTGGTAGGATTTGGACATGTTTGAAAATACATATGAAAGAACTTTAACCAACTGAGTGTAGAGTAAGTGGTGGTTTCTGCTTCAATGGTGATGCCATTTACTGGTATGAGAGAAACTAGACAAGGTACAAGTATTCATTTCTGTACCACTTTGGGTAAGGATGCCTAAGAAGTTCAATTGAAGACAGCAAAGAGCCAGTTTGACATATTAATTCTTCTCTGGAGATCAGGGGGTACAGGCAAGAGATATAAAAATATGAGGCAACAGCATATAGATGGCAGTTACATCCATGAAATAGAATAAGAACTTTTTCTTAATTTTATTGCTGCTTAGCTCCAAATTCACTATTTTAATCCCATTATTTTTTACTGAAACTGAATCCTATAAACATTTTTCCCTTGCCAACTGATTTGATTTGTGCTAGTAAAGGTACTAGAGGGACAGTGCAAGGCCAAAGCAGAAGGAAGGAACTTTGCTTCCTTCTGGTGTCTAGACATTAGCAGATTAATGTTTTTTTTTTTTTTCATACCATTATAACAAAGGATTTCCTAGACCAGTTGTGACACATGTCCTCTGGCAAATTTCTTTACCACTGGTAGGTGGTACAGGGTCCTGTGGCATGCATGCACTCTCCACAGAGAGTGGTATAGGAGTTTGATCTTCAAGTTCATTAGCCTTAAATATAGTAGCTGCTTTCTGCAGTTGCTCCTTATACATCTCTTAAAATATTTTTAAGCCTTCTACTAGTTAACCACCTTATATTAGTTAACACATCATAGTCTTTGGGCTTGAGCACAGTGCTGAGTCCTTACCAGTAGGAAACGGGATGCTGATAATCCAAGGCATGCACTGGTGTCACAATTAATCAAGTTACTAATCCTGCCGTTGACTGTAATAAACTACCTATTAAAGTTAATGCCTTGGAAGCCCAAGAGGCTGCTGCCCTTGACCACTATAATAATGATGACTACAAAGACAAGTAAAAAGACAGTGTTGTGAAACAGATTCCTCTGACTGCATGAAGAATCTACAGAAAGACGTAACGAGCTCAGGTCCTTAAATTCCTAGCATGAATTGCAGTCTGAGAAAGCTTCCACAGCGAGTATAAAAGAATACCTGACATTATAGTCACTAAAATCTAAACACAAATTTCACTGTCTGCAGATATAGAATGTCAACTGAATTATACAGCTTCACTAAATTTCTTGTATGAAAATTAGGGAGCCAGTGCAACCCTTATGGAAAGCAGTTTGGTTGTGATTAAAAAAACCTATAAAAAATGAGAGGGTGGGCCAAACTTGATCCATAAGTTGATGCTTGTTGTAAAGGAATAAATCTAAAAGCTTAGGAAGGTAGGAAGTTGCTGCTCCTTTTTTTTCAGTGTTGGGGATCAAACCCAGGGCCTCAAAAAACTTGGAATGGAACCACCATTTGACCCAGCTATTCCACTCCTCAGTTTATACCAAAACAACTTAAAAATCAGCACACTACAGTGATGCAGCCACATCAATGTTTATAGCAACTCAACTTACAATAGTTAAACTATGGAGCTAACC